TTAATTATATTTATATTAATATATATATATATATATATATATATATATATATATATATATATATATATATATATATATATATATATATATATATATATATATATATATATATATATATATATATATATATATTCAATATATATATTTCAATATATATATATATATATATATAATATACCATATCATCATATCATATCATATTATATCGTATAATATCATTACATCGGATTGAAGCTCGAGATCGATGATTTGTATACTACTTGGAAGTACCATTCCTTGCGGACACTTCCCATCATCCTCCAATGATATCTGCCGATCTACCCCACCATACCTCCTAGCCTGTCCCATCCAATAATTCATATCGGTCGCACCATACAGTCCAACACCAGACAATAACACTGCGCACGTGTGTCACCTCAGGTACGTATGATCCCCGGGCGACACGATATAGCGTTTGTGGAGTATGTGGATGAGGGTCAGGCGAGCATTGCAAAGTCACAGCTGGAAGGCACAGACGTGGCGCCTGGAGAACCGCTGAAGATCATGTTTGCCAAGAAACAAGTCTAAAGTCCGGGTTCTAGGGCCCAAAAGTTCGGGTTCTAGGGCCGACCTGTGTCATGGGTTTATGGGCGCGACTGGTCAATGATACGGCGCCTTTCTGCGGGGAATGTCCCTTCAACAACAAGGCTTGGTGTGAGACTGGACACGCGAAAGGCGAGGATTGGCTCAATTGTGTTGTATATATACGTATATTAGTCTCTACCTGTCAATATAGCAGAATATATGAACGAGTGGACCTCTGTAAAATGTATATCTACTGGTTCAACCGGGTTGCATATATACGTATATTAGTTTCTACCTGTCAATAAAGCAGAATATATAAACGAGTGGGCCTCACTGGTTGAATTGTATTCAAATGTAGTAAGTCTTATACGAAAGACTACAAGCATATATCACTAATTGAATTGTATTTAAATTCAAACATATACAAGCATATGTCACTTATTGAATTGTATTTCAATCCAAACATATACAAGCATATATCACATTGAAATGTATTTAAATCCAAACATATACAAGCATATATCACCTATTGAATTGTATTTAAATCCAAATATATCTGTAGTACGAGTTGTACGAAAGACTTACAAGTGTATGTCACTTGTTGAATTCTATTTAAATCCAAGTATATTTGTAGCAAGTCTTGTATAGAAGAATACAAGCATATATCTCCTGCTAAGATCACTTTAAACCCAAGTATATTTGTAAAATTTTTTGTATGAAAGACTAACAGCATATATTTATACTTTAAATCCAAGTATATTTGTAGCAAGTCTTGTATGGAAGAGTACCAGCATATATCTCCTGCTGAATTCTCTTTAAATCCAAGTATATTTGCATAAAGTCTTGTACGAAAGGCTACAAGCACATCACTTTTGAGTTCTATCTAATCCAAGGATATTTGCAGTAAGTCTTGTCTGAAAGACTACAACTATATGTTTCCTGTTGGGTTCCTTTTCAATTTCAATTCTATTTATAGTATTAGAATAGTGCAACAGTCCGTCTCAGTTCTGGTATGAACTGCAGGCAGATGTCGTTCGATGTTGACACATTTTCTTGGATTCCTTAATGTCTTTCACTATATATA